TGCTCGACGAAAATTATTTTAAAGTTTGGATTTTAGATGTAAACCTTTGAAGAAATATAGAAACCTTACAACCCCCAACCCTCCAGGAACAAATCTTCTATTATCTTGGGGACTACATGATAAGATGTCAGTGGAGAACTAATGATTCCTATCTACTACTGAACATTTTCTCTTCTTTTCCTCTCTTTTGTCCCAGACACATCAACTGGATCATTCCGCTCATTACCTGCGTCTGAAATTTCTAATAGGAAGCAAAATGCACCACTACGTTCCCCAGCCCGAGGAAGACATTTACGAGCTGGTAATGTTTATGACTGTTGTCCGAGTTCATTCTGCAGGAGATTAGTTTTAAATTATATGTGTGCTCGTGCTAGTTGTGGTTGGTGAGGTGGAATGAATTCTAAAACAAATGAGCCTCATTCAGAGCTCTAAAGTTCGTGGAGCTGGCCTTCCTTATCACAAATATTTCCGCAGAGTGGAAATGCCACCTTTGTTTTTGCGGGGAGCCGCGCTGTGCTATCATGAACCGAAATCCAGAGCTTACTCTTAGCTAGAATTCCCAGCTTTCTTTGTAGCTTCCCCAATGTTTTGTTTTAAATTGGTGGCTCAAACATCAGCTGGCTGTTGTCAGGAAAAAAAAGCACTAACTCCAATTTTTTGCGATTTCGATATAGAAGCCGATCCAATCCTGTTGGATGAAAAAGCTGCCATCTAATTATATGCCCAGCCTTTTGTAATCATATCTAAATTCCTAAGGGTATTTATGTATGTTTGAGTTTTATTATGGGACTTGAGTTCTTTACTAGAGCTGAGTCTTTATATTGGCTCTACTGCTTACTAATTATTTGGTATTGGCAAAAAAAAAAATGAAGTGCTAATATTTCATTTTTCAGATTTTGTAAAGATCAGAGATAATGGTTCACATAGTAGATGCTCAATAAATGGTTGTTATGTCAATAAAATAGTGACAAGTTCCTTTTTTGTTAGCCAAGTGGTAATTTTCAGTTCCAGGAATGGAATGTTTGGGGAGCCAGGCGCCTCTCTCTCTTGGAGTTTGTCTTCTCTCCACACTTAGTCATTCCTCAGGGGGCCACCAGCTGCCTGCATGGATATGTGAATGATAACAGTATGACTTCAGGCGGGGCCCAACCACAGAGAGCAGAACTGAAATTTAAACCTGAGTAGTCTCTTTTTGAAAAGAGGAAGTGTGGTTTACAATTTAGTAGGAATTTTGTTTTTAATCAACTTTTTTGACATCTACTTATTATATACAATAAAACTCCTCAGTTTAAGCACGCAGTTGAATGAGTTTTGACAAATGAGTACAGACAGTCCTGTTTCCACCACTACAATCGTGATTTAGAACGTTTCTGTTACCCTAAAATGTTTCCTGGTGCCCCTTTAAGTGTTTTTAATGAAATATAAGAGAGAGTGTGCATTTGTAACCCTGTCATCATGCTATGCAATAGAAGATCAAAATGATGAGTCCGTTTTCAGCCATCACTGAAGTCAGTAAGTGTAACGGAGGAGAAGGTCCCTTTCACAGAGAGTGGCTGTTTTATGTTTTCTCTGGCTTGGGGAAGAGCCCTGACTTTGTGCTTTCTGAGCAGAAGAAGGAAAACCCTTTTCCTTCCTTTAAAAGTGAAAATGCGTTGCTTGGAACACTGGAATATATTAAAGCATAAATTTTTGCATCTTAGGGCTAATGACTCTTTCCCATCCCAAATGACAGAGATCACACCTAACCAGCATGCATGTCCTTCATATCTCACTCACAATAGGTGTTTAAGATATATCGTTTGAAATTATATTGATTTGTTATTTTTTATTATTATTNCCAAACACTGAGAATTTCCGTGTTAAAATATTCATTGATATTTGGAATCCTTTTTTGCAACATAGATGTATTGTAAATCTGGTAAGTGGCTTGACCTGCTTTGACATTGACTAGCAGAAATTTGAGGAGCGTGAAATTCTTCGTGAGGGTTCTGATGATCTGATTTAGCTAAATCATTAGGATTTTCCTTTTATGTTCAAACAGCCATGACTAACGAGGGCTCGTCACTGAGAAATATTTACCAAAATGATAAGACACACAGGCGTCTTGATCCGATGTCCCATGTGTAGGGTAATTAACCAAACTAAGGGCTCCTAGGTTACCAGTAAGACCATTATAATTTTTATGTTTGTTGCACGTGCTCCTTTTTATTTTTCAAAGTTATGAAGACATTATCGTAACTTTAAAAAGTTTAAAAAATATGGTGGTAGAGGGGAAGGTGGGAAGACTCACCCTTATTAACATTATTTATTTATTTATTTATTGTTTAAGATTTTTTATTGGGGAATCGGGGGAGGGGAACAGACAGGTTGCTGTCCTTTTTGTTCTTCAGTCTAGTTGTGGAGGACGTCGCTTCACTGGCCCATGTTGGTATTATCATTGCGCTCTTCCCTGGTGAGGCAGTCGCTTGTTGGCCATTGGACGGCTGCTCATGGTGGCTCACAGCAGCTCACGCCAGCTGCTGGCCAGCCCCACTGCAGCCTATGCTGTCACCAGCAACTCACGGCAGCCCAGCTCCAGGTCGAGCTGTCACTCACCATCTTAGCTGTAGAGGGCAGTGTCACTGGCCTGCATGTGGGATCCGAACCGGGGTCCTGCTGCTCAGAGCTGGCGTTCCCAAGCCAACTCTTAACCAACGTGCCACTCGGCCGGCCCCACATTATTATATTTGCCACTCTTTTGTTCTCTTTGCTGTGTTATAAACTTTAAGTGAGATGCCTCGCCAGTGGTGTCCACTGTTGTTCATCGTTCTGTGTACATCTGTATAAATGTTTTCAGCATATTAGCATTTAAGGCAGGGTGGGAATCTCCACAGCCTTCTTCAGGACCACCTCACATCTTTGGTGCCTGATGGTGGGCTGTCCCTCTCTCTCACACTGAGCTTTCAGAAACCAGAAGCTTCTTAGGTGAGATTGCTGTTTGGGGGTGATTTTCAGAAGACAGTCTGTTTCAGTGACAGCCTCACTGCGAGTGTCCCGAAAGTGTTTATTACCGATGACGATAAGGTTTCCAAGTGGATTTGTTCCTGTTAGCCAAGACCCCATGGAGTTTCATTTCTCTTTTCCTCCCACCTCAATCGGAAACAGATGGTGAACCAAAAATTTTCTCTTCTAATTAAAGATTTCAGTGAGGTCCTAGGTAGGTGGGAAGCATTTGCAGCTTCTGTCTCTGGGAGGGAAACTTTGTTTTGCTCATCTCATCACCCTGAATATTATTATTTTGTTGTTTGTCTCAGCAGCTCTCTGACAAGCAGAAGATAGCATACTTTAAAACTTTCCTGCTTGGGGCAGCCGGTTAGCTCAGTTGGTTAGAGCCCACAGCTTATAACACCAAGGTTGC